TTGAGAGAGAACCTTGAGGCTCCTGAAGTAAAGGGGTAAATGAAGATTCTCTATCCCTCATCTTCTGTTGCTGCTTTAGTTGGCTTTATTCCTGTCATCGGAACAAAAGCAGTGGAGTTAAATAAACAATTACCTTCTCAGAGCCTAACACTAGAGCTTGACCCTTATTTTGAAAGGGTAACAGCTGGCATATTCTGGTCAGTTGGACAAACCAAGCATGCAGATAGTGGGAGTAGTTTTGTAGTGTCTAATCGTTTCATGGCTTAAATGCATAATCACTTGAACATAACAGCAGCTCTCTTTGGACATATGAATTTGGATATTTTCATTCTTGTATGTAGTAGTTCTTCATATCTGGATACAGGGAGAAATTGGAGCATCTTTCCCATTTAGCAAACAGCTGTCACTTCAGATGAAGCCAGCTAATTCAGTAAGTCTCAATGTATGCACTGATTATACTACTGTGAGGAATACATAGTAAGCAGAAAGCCCTTGCCAGCTAAATTTAATGAAGTATCCACTATGCAGCTTATCAGACTAATAGGAATTTGCAGCTTTAAAGGGCTAATACTTCCTGCTATACAGGAACAGAACTGTCTGATGAGGTTGTCTCCTTGGGAGAAGAAAATTAGCTTTAGTAGATTTGAATCTTAGCATTCCTTTACACACAGTTGATAGCCCTTTACACACTTAAATTTCAATGTAGTGAAATGATCTTGCTATAGCAAGAAAGTGAAAGATATATTATGCTCACATTCATTGTCATATGTGGCCAAGAACACCTATCCAATTTCTAGGCACCTGTGCCATTCAGTGGAGTAACCTGTCTTTTGGAGTGATTGGATTCTGAACATCAGAAGGGATGTTAAACATCAGTAAAATGTGCATGGAAATACCACCATCTTATCTCCTACCACTCCTCTCAAAAAAACATTTTATAGAGTAAGATGTATTTGCTTTTAAAAATTTGAAGGATAGTTGCCTGTTCTAAAAATCACTAGTTCTCTTCCCTGAACCAGAAGCACAAGCCATAGCCTTAAGTACAGAACAACTGTAGCTAAAGATTACTTGACTACCAGCATCCACCAGTTCCATTCCACTGCCCCAATTAGTCTAATTAAATTTGCGCTTTTAGGCAAGTGCATAGGTGCCTGCTTTGAAATTAGACAACTTTGCTATTACATTAAATGTCTGATAAATCCAAAAACTTTTGATTCAACTGAAATCTCAATCTCAGAGCACTGCAGGGAGAACACTATGAAACTGTCAGTTCTTTGTGTTCTATAGAAATGCTTCATTCCGAAACAATAGTGATCAGCACCAATTGCCTCCAGTTTAAGGGAAACTTGAAAGCCCTATAACAATGGCTTTGCTCACTTGAGAGAAATTTGTGTTCAGGGTGTACTAATTATGGATTTTAAGGAGAAAGCCAAAAGCAAAAGTTGTCTACTTTCAGGAGACACTATTCTACATAATGTTGCTGGTATATAGAAAAGCAAATGGCAATTGCATGTGATATTTAAAAGACAATACATCTTAGTGCTTAGAGCTTTAGCAAAGCAGCAATAGAAATAGGGATGAAAGCAGAATTAAAGAAAAAATGCTAGAGATTTTTTGGATAGTTGCAGTATCCTACACAAGCAGAGCTGGTGAGAATGTAAGGTGGAATTTATGCAAACTGAAATACATACGCCCTCCATCTCCTTCATTCTTGTCTTCAAATTTTTTAATAAAATGTATTCATTCAAAAAAAATCTACTTCCTCACAGAATTATGGCTGTTCTTGTTAAGACAGTTTTAAGCCTAGACATAAATACATCTGTTTATTAAAAAGTTAGTTCTGCTGGCCCAGCATGAAACAAACATCAAGGACAAGTTTTTTTAAACACGGAAGTTGAGTTCACTACAAGTATGTAAACAGGTTTTTTTTTTTTCTCTCTTTATTCTGCTATTGTGAGAACATAAAAATATATGTCCTTTCCCCTCAGCCATAACTCCCCTATTATTATTCCCCCCTCTTCCCCCAAAAATACCCCTGCTGCAGAACAGCTATGAAAAAAGTACTGATGTAAGAAAGCAGCGGCCCTTCATGTAGTAAGGAAAAGAAAGAAAACTTGTAAAGCATAGCTATCTCAAGGAAAAAAATGTTTAAATATGCACAAGATTCATAGAATTTTTCCCACTGTATTTTAGAATATAATAAGCATAAACTGAAACTGTTGTCCAACATAAGCCTTATTTTCTTATGCAGGTTAATCATGAAGAGCACTTCCATATACAGAATTTGTCTGGGTTTTACAGTTAGGTTCAATTTCCTGTGGTGGTCTCCAAATTGTTTGCACCTGAAGGGCTAACTGAACTAATACTTGCTCTTGTATAGTTTATTTGACAAAATAGTTAAGTCAGATGGAGAGTATGGTTAAACTTACATGAATACAAGAAAATGCAGTTTTTTTCCCCAATAGTCTGACAAATACACCATTATGTGGATAAGAAGTTTTAACCTACCTCTTGTTGAAGCACAGGAGGTAGACAATATAACAGACAGGAGTAACGCTAGATTTTTGTGAAGGAACAGGCAGCATTTTAAAACCCTTTAATATTCCCCTCTTCTCATCCCCACTTAAAAAAAATAGGTTAGCATTTTAAAATTGGTGATTTGGTGTCTTTGATTTTTTTTTTCCAACCCACTTTCCAAAAAGCATCAATGAATTACAAGTACAAAAGATGCTGAACTGGTGTGCTTCCCCAGCCCACCACACACAATAATCTTATAACATTACAAGCAGAGCAGACAAAATATGTCTGAGGGTGTCCACTTTCATCCATTTTTTAAAGGTTAATTAGGGCAACATTTACCACAGAACCAATTGGAGGAAAAAGTAAAACCTTGATTGCAATGCAAACACTAAACAATTACCTCTTCAAACAACGTTTTAAAACCACTAACTTTACCTAGGTATGGTCAAGTAGATCATTAAAATGCAGCAATCTAAAATCAAAATAACATGTTACAAATAAAAATTTGCTTCTGTGAATAGCTACACAAACAGATGTATTTCTTTTAACAAATATAAACAAAACAGTCTAATTTAGACTCCAGTACAGCATTAACAGTTCAAACTTTAAGATGTTGAACAATCCTTTTCCACTTCAGTGCAGTGTAGGAAGAATAGCACACGTTAAAGTTTGTTACGAAAATAGAGTTTATTAAAAACATCCCTATTGTTTTGAGGAGCTTTCACCGTTACCTTTTCTTAAATTAAAAAAAAAATAATAGAAAGCACTTCTACTTCTGATTTGTAAACTTTTTAAAGTCAAAACTTTAAAAAAGTTACAGCAAAAATGGGTAATATTTTATTCATATCTTCAGTATCTTGTGTTATGTTGTGGCTATTTTAAATAGAAGGGAAGCAATCAAATTGCTTACAATTCCCCACCAACTACTGAGGGGCTGTGATATAGCAGAAGCAAATATAATACAGCATAATGTACAACTCTAAAGCTCTACACTCCAATAAATGTCACTGTCATGTTTTGACAAATTCCAGTCTCTAACGAGGAGCCTCTACAACTGAGCCAATATCCTTTGCTGCTTGTTCAACAGATGAGGTAGCCTCAGATGTTAACGCTTCATTAGGTTTTACACCTGTGGGTTCAGACGCTCCTGTATTAAGTTCTGAAACAATGTCTGCATTTTCCACTTTGCCACTGTGAGATTCATGGTTGTTGTCACCATCTGCCCTGTCTGTCAGCTCAGGTTTCTCCTTTCCTCGATTTTCTTCCTTGTCTCTGCGAGATTCCCTATCTCTAGAATCTCTCTCTCTGTCTCGGTGTCCACTGGACCGTCGATTTCTGTCCTCTAAGTCTCTGTGTCTGTCGCGTTCAGGGCTTCTTCTTCCCCATTCTCTCCTTTCACGATTACCAAGTCGCTCATGATCCCTGTCATCGTTGCGGTTACCATAGCGCTCGCGATCATTTTCTACCCGATTTCCAAAAGATCTCCTTCCATACCTTTCCTGGTCTCTGTTAGAACCGAATGTCTGCCTATCATTCCTAAACTGCCTTCCATCTCTATTATCCTCAGGTCCACCTGATCCTCCACTTCCTGACATCCCTCCACCTGGCCTAACAAAGGGGCCGGGTGGTGGAAATGGGTTTTTCATTCCATGAGGCGGAGGCATGCCAAAGCCCCCTGGCCCAGGGGGTGGACCTCTATGTAACATATGGGGAGGCATATGCCGTGGTGGCATCAAGGGAAAGCGTTGCAGAGGTGGTGGTGGTATTCCAGGAGGTCGCTGGAGTGGTATTAAACCAGGCCGTGCCCCAAGGAGTCCAGTAGAGGGGGTCTGTAATCCAACCACGGGAGCAGGTGGTGGTGCAACTCCTTGAGTACCTGCCAGCCAAAACAGTAAATGTATTAGAACAAAGCTGAATGAAGGAAATACCTTCATAATGTCAGAGCCCTGCATGGAAGTGATGCATCACCACCAGGGTGATGGAAAACACTTGTTAGCTAATGCTGAATAATCAAGTCCTGCCTCAGAGTATATTAGTTGCTCTTTTCAGTTTATTCAAAGTGCACACCTGCCCCACTGAGTGTAAAGGGCAAGACCCCTTTTTAAACAAGCCATAGAGATGCATAGTGTTTCACAGGGTAAATCAACCCACTTTTTCCTTTTGTCAACTAGCAGTAGCCACTTCCCAGGACCGACAAAGTCAGTTGTTTCTGATCCCCACCTCACTGCCTGGTTTGGGCCATACCTTCACCTCCTTCCAGGTTACATTCCACATTTCGGAACAGCTGCAACATCCTCTCAGTCAGACTGAAAGCCTTCTGCTGCTGCTTTCGTTACATACTCAAATACACACACCCAGGACTTGAAATGCATAGCAATTTGTGATTTTTGAAGCAAAACGAGAGGCAATAATCAGTGGAGAGATGCAACTATGGCCAGAACTAGGGGCAGGGCAAGACTGAACCTGCCAGTTTTTAGGTTGTTTTAAGAAAACTAGCTGCAGTGTACAGTCAAGAGAGAGAGTCAACATCATTATTTTTTTTACTAAGCCTCTCTTAGGTTTCTTTTTTAAGGAAAATAAGCTTTTTCAGTTTATGGCACACCACCTTTCCATTCCTAGATCTGGGCTGTATGCAAACACTATCTGCACAGAAGGAAAGAAAGCATAAAACCTGTGAACCTCAACAGCAGAGAAGGCTCAGCTCAGCCTGTCCGCTGCTCCCCTGTGAACCCAAAGCTAAACAAAACCATTACATGCAACAGCTAAGCATTTAATACGTGGAGCATGTGACAGCTTCGGTCAACAAGTTCCTGCTGGTTGAAGTGATAGCATGATTGGTCTATATTCCGTGTAGCTTTTATACTGTAACAGCCCCATGGTTATTCCAGCTACTAATGTTTTATGTTCAATTAACTAGTATTTTACTGGGGAACACCCTCCCTCCCCTAAACCTTCATGTACCACATGGAAACAAGACAGACCCCCAAAAGTACTAGTACTAAATAAAAGTTTTTTTCATGGGATCCAAGACTGCATTTTAAAGAGGCTCTCAGTAGGGTTCTGCTAAACATAAATCTGCTCTCAACCCATCTTGTTCTTTATCAACCATCTTGTTTTCAAACTTTTGACATGATTCTAAGGAATGTTTTTAATTCATAAAAACAAGTTATGAAAATGAAAATAAAGATAACAGTATAGATTAGAGAAATTCAGTAAGTCTCTTCCAGTGGAGCAGAAATACCATAAAACCTCACCACCACCTAGATTAGCAATTCTCAACCAGGGTGTCCTTTTAAGGATGAGTCCCAGTGCCACACAATGTTAGCACAGTTAGGTGTGCAAACATGATCCCCAAGATAAATCCAGAGATTTCAAATAGAAGCCCAGCATTAAAAACACTGTGATCTCTCGTGGCCTTTCCGAGTTCTTTGCAACAGTAAAGTTGCTGTATTATTTTTCTATAGTCAAAAAAAATGCATGAAAGCTAAGTAGCTGGGCATTTTCTGAGGGGTGCCTCGAGTCTAAAAAGGCTGAGAACTGACCCAGATATTTTCATAAGATGTTAGCATAGCACCATTACCTCCTTTTTAAAGCCACATTGTAAGCAGGAATGACCTCCTTTTTTCCAAGTCCCTCCTCAATTCAATTCATGCTATAGTTCCCAGTTACTACTCATTATTATTCCTAATTAAATTTGTTCTTTAGAACAAGAATACTCATCACAGAACTACTACATTAATGACAATATAATTAACCTATTTGTTTTTCTGTCAGTTAGTGGAGACTATCGGGAAAGCGATGAAGATTTCAGTGGCTGCTCCAGTCTATGATGTGGCTGTCCATCTTCCTGCCTTTTTTCCAGGCAGACCTTTGATTTACTAAGTGAAAGACTTACTAGTTAAAGCCAGGTGGTGCATTCTTCTTTTTTCTTTTCATTGGTATTTTCCTAGAAATTGCCATCACGCTATACTGGGAAGCATGCTTAGTTGCATTGTTTTGTGATCAAAATGTTTCCATAGATTTGTATAATGCTGAGTATATGATCAATACACATAAATATTCCATTCTGCTTCAGTGAAGACAGTCCCTGTTTATATTTTAATGCAAAAGTATTTTACAGTGAACTGAAATGTGATAAAGTGGACATGCTTTGATGTAATTAGTTTAGTGAAGCAGGTAGCTGCTGTTTTATATTTGGCATAGGCACTGTTTTATATTTGGACAAATGCGGATATGACAACATTACTTTTAGAGGTTAATAGAAACAAACAAGCTTCACCTCATTTTCTAAATGAGCACTAGCACCCTAATTTCTCACTTTCCCCCACTTCTCAAAGTCCAGGAGCAGACAGACTGTGGTGGTTTATATCCCACAAGTGATGTAAGACTGTGAAACCTTCAGTTTCTTCTCTTTCAAATTTGGATCGGATCAGAGTCCCAGAATAGATTAACAGATGTTATTTTAAGTGAACCACCCACACTTTCAGCCCAAAATGCATTGTAGTTGGTCTTACTACACTTCCTTACGCTGGATTACGTTTTACTCCAAAACACAGTCCATAAACTTTGTAACTAAATTTGGAGTGTTAAATGAAAAAGGGAGGCACTAATCTGAATGTACCTTGTACATGCAACTTGGTATAAATTTAACTCTTTAATCTTTTAGAGTAGAAAAATGATCAATCTAAGCATTTGGTAAATATGAACGCACAAGGCTTCTTGTTTAAGTGCACCTACCTTTAAGGCACCATAATGATTTAAGAACAAAAATTCAGAACAGTTGGTTCACTGGTCTTGTGCCAAGTTGTTTAAAATGTACCTTTCCAGGCATAAAACAGACTTGTTCATCCATGTTTTTGGACATCAGTGAAATATCTTGCTCACACCATTTTACACTCATTTTCTTTGCTCAAAACACATTTATAATACATTTCCAGTCATGTGTTTCCTAGCTGCTTCATTCTGCACCACTTTAGCTGGAACATAGTTCCTACTAATAATTCACTGGGTATGAGAGACAATTGCCATCATGAAGAACTACGTGAGGCAAGGTTCAAAATTTATTCAACACTCATAGGGAAGAAAATATAAATGGCTTCCATAGCTTATAGCCTACTCATACATACTAAGATTAAAAATGTATGAAGAACTTAGCAATATGTACCTGAAGTACTGCAACCACTTAAGAGAAACATGTTCTCAGTGATGAAATAAAAATCATTACATTGTGTGTCAACCTGTGTTTGTGACATCATTTCACCTTATTACATGACGTATGCCTCAAACTGCTGTAAGTGCATTGTTTTGTACAAGTAGCTTTAATTTGGGTGGTCTCGTTTCATGTTCTAAAGAAGCTGGCATTTTTTACAGTTGATACTTTTTACACATTCTTTTACAAAATGTCTAACATTTAGTACTCTGATGCAGCTGAAGCTGGCTACTTTTGTTTTCTAAAATTAAACTCTGCACAATGGGTTATCCTGTTTGGAGTCTATTGGAACTCCTTAAACTGCTATTCATTAAGCCTTTTAAGATGAAACAGGAATATTTGGTTTGTCCAAACATCCAATTTTGCTCCCAGTGCAACTCCTTCTGGGAATGTTAGAGTGGCATGCGAGTACAGAAATTTATATTTTTGAGGTACCAGGTCAAAAGTTCAGGACAAAACCTGCTGTTATCACTTTATAGTTTTTAACTTCCAATACACATCAGCTTTGCATTGCAAGTCTTGGATGGAGGTCCACACCTCTCAAAACAAGGTCATTAAATGCTGCTATGAAATCTTTGAGAATAGGGCTGCACTGTAGGAGTTGACAGCTGATAGAATCTGTCATTTTGCCCCAGCTAAAATGAAAGTATAGTAATTTTAGGTTAAGAGATCTCCAAATTTTCACTTGGCACATGAGTTTCTCTCTGAAAAGGAGTTCTGTTTCTCAAGGATTTTCTATAGCATGTTTTCACACAGGCCATTATTTTACAAAAATGTAGGTTAGGCTTTAAATCCATATTTTGGTACTCAAGTAGCTGGGCTTATTTTCCAAGGTGCTAAGTTCTCAACATTGAAGACAGTAGGAGCCATTAGATATCTGATGCATTTAGATGTCACCCTATCTAGTACAACGTGTAATTATAACCTTTAGAACCTAACGTTAAGCAGCCAATTTTTTTTTTTTTTTAAAGTCTTGCTCACAGTATTTAAGTTCACTTAAAAATATAATCTGGCTTCTTGAACTGCTGCTTAGAAAACATTTGTTGATGAAACAAATCCAGGCAAGTTCTACCATAATTAATTCATTTTGTCTACGTGAATGGCAAGTGAAAGAAGCTATATCCCTTCCTCTGCTTCTCACGTGGCCAAGTTGAGATTACAGAATTTGTATTGCTAATACATAATGGGAAAGAATAAATTGTGCATCACACTTTTGTAATAATGGATCTATGTAATAAAAAGTCTAGCAATAGAGTTATGGCATAGAGTAAATATAAAAAGATGGCAGATTTTCTATTCTAATACCCACATCATAGTATACTAACTGCTTCTGATTTGTTCAAAACCGTTTTAGTTTTACCTGTTAATACAGATAGTACTGTGTGACTATCCAAGTGGTAGGCAGAAAGGGGAAGGAGGCAGAAAAGAGAAATGTTGAATATACTCAATGCTAAAGAGGGATATTATGAAGGAAGGGAATTATAATATACTCAATGGAATCTACAGGAAAGCTACTTTTGGCTACAATATAAAATTGCCACAGTTGGAAGTCTGATAGTTCACCAGATTATATGTACCTATCTAAAGCATAATATGGTGTCTTCCACTCATATAATAATTCAAGGTAGAGTTTTTTAAACATCTTATTATTCAATATGAAGTTCCATCTAGTGGAATTCAGATTTAAGCCTCTTCACAAAATAATTTAAAAGCTCAGTTATCAGTATTGAACAGAAAAGGCGTGAATCAGAGGTTCTAGGAAGTAAGGTGGGTATCAATTTCTCTCCCAAGATCACCATTTTTTTTTTTGCATTTTTATACGGAATAATTTGCGGTGCTGAATACAATCAAAATATTTAAGCAAATAAAGGTGAAGTAGATCCAACCATAGTGAGACCCATAGCGCGCACAAATTTCTTTCAGAAAATAACGTACAGAAAGTTTGGGCACAGTATGATTAAATAAAGTAGATTCTTTGGAGCCAAAAAAAATGGTATTGCTGACAGTGGAAACTACAACTCCTGATGTGAATGAAATCAATGACTGGTACGGGGGAACAAAACCACTAAGATATCACTGTAAGAAAGCATAAATCTCACAGTAATAAAGCATTCTTTATATACAGAAAATACGTTGTGTAAACCAAACAGATAAATAAGCTTCATTTTAAAGTTACAAAAATATATGGAGACAAAAAACCCTTCAATTACACAGATTAGATGCAAATATTCTTAGGAAGATTAGTATGTTTATGAACTTCTGTTTAGGGTAATCCTCATGCCTGGAATTCAGCTGGCTGAAAGATGTTCTTCTATGCTGTCCACCATATTTGCAGATCATTTCTTCATTCTTTTTGTTCAGCTACATCCCCACCCCCACATCGCAATCCTTAATTCTCTGAGTGAAGCCTTCACAGTGCTCTTGAAAGTATGGAGAATCTTTCCATATACTTGCTTCCCCACTCTACCCCCATTGTGAATACTCACTTTAGGGTCACCCAAGCAGAAGTTAAACAGGACTTCATATCATAGCTGTCAATGTCTATCTAATACTTCATAATCTCCTGTTTGCTTTTCCCCATGGCAAGGGATATTCAAAGACAACTGACACTGTACATTTTTGCACATGATCCATCTTGCTCTTTCAACAGCAAGTGATACAAGATGGCCTCCACCTCCTTGCTAACCTGAAGTGGTAGAGAACATTGTGTTTACCTCCCCTCGCATCTCCTCCTAGTCTAGGGAACAAGAGACCAGGTTCGATTCTCACTCCTTTGTGCAGTAGCACGAAGCTCAACTGCAAAGGTGTTCCACTCTAGTTTCAAAAGGATATAAGAATTCTAGTAGTATTTACTGACTGAACAATTTTAAAAAGCACAACCAAAATGTATTAGTAATTTTCTGACTTTAATATTGGAGGATATATGAATCTCTGCATTCCTGCTGGTATCATATCTGTTTTGTTTTGTTTTTTTATGAAGTTTTCCTTTACTCTGAGTTGTCAGTACGGACTGTTCTTGCAGAAACTGCATGTCAAGGAATTATTTTCTAAAGTAGCCCCAACAACTTGAAATGTGCCCATTTTAAAGAGAAGCAAAAGTGGGGCACTAGTGTAGTATCTGAACATACCTCCCTGAAAACGTGTGGCTTTACAATCCTTAAGAAATCACCTCTTCCCATCTGTTGCTAAGTGTAAGCTCCACAGTTGGTGTAGCTGATTGAAAGGTCAACTATACTGTTTATTCTTGAGCACAAAGTACTGTTAAAGCACAAAAGTAAACAAGCTGATAAAAGGAGTTAAAGTTTTATTTCCTAACCTTCCAAATGCACTTTTTTTAAGCTTTCGTAAGTAAGAATAGCAGGTAAAAACAGACATCTGCATTTTCTATAAATAAATCAACAACGTTACTTTAAAATTTTACTTTTACTTTCTTCCATGAAGTCAATCTTCTCACTTGACAATAATCCTTTATTCTATACACAGCGAGACAGCAAACTGCCAAACATTCAAATAAATACCAGGTTTTGAGGGGAATACTTATAACTTAAGTCAAAAGACTACTGTCTTAATTTTATTATTTTATTTTACATTATTATTTTAAATTCTGTTAAAAAAACCCAACAAATGCATTCAGTTGTAAAAGATAAGGAAGCACATCACCAAGATGCGACTATCTTGACAGAACAATAACATTCTTATTACTGTAACCCTAATCTTTTCTCAGCCCAGGACTTCCTTATAATTTTTTCCTTTCTGTACCTGTCCCATTATAGTTTAGATTATTTATTTATTTATTAATTAAGATAGTGTCCATCTTGAGGCGATTTTATAGCATGATTTTCAGAGGGCAGATACACAGCACTTTCTGAAAACTGAATTTCTTCAAGGTCTTGTGTTGAACTTCCAACTTTAGGCATCCAAAAAAAAAATCACTAGTCATTTAAAAAAATTTAGCCACTAAGTCCAATTGTTAATTATAGAGACTGTGTATTTCTATTTGTCCTGCCATACAAATTTCCAGGCTCAATATACCAAATAAAATTATTCCATTCTTTTCAAGTTCTTACTTATAAGCTCCCACAGTCCAAGTGAATAAACAGTCTATAAATTCAATGGTAATGTTTTTATTGAAGCAGGAGACAGCTTTTTAAATGAACATGTGGTACGTGTCCTATACTGGCAGAGATAAGCAAGTCATGTGAAAGGTATTCATTCTTCAGGCAGCTTTAGAAGACTAAATAATCTTTAAATTCTGGAAGTGCCCAGAATAAAAAAAATTCAAATCTCAGAATATCTACAGCCAACTTATTTACAAGTCTTTTCTCTCAAAGTAAGATTGTGCAACAGTAATGTAAGCTCAGGTACAATAAAGTGGCTCAAACTTTGCATTGAGTAGAGCTGGGTGGAGATTTTACTTCATAACATGACCAATTCCACAGACCAAAAAAAAAAAAAATATATATATATACACACACACACACGCATACACAAACACACACCAGGGGTTCATATTTTTAAAATTTATTTTAAAAAAAGAGCAACACTCCTTCAGTGAATGTGTATAATTTCCTTTATGCACATACAATTCAAGTCTAGAATGCAGCTCATGTCATGACTAAGCATCTGTATGCCATAAAAGTTAATTTAATTACGCAAGTCAATTTGCTAATCTCAGATTGTATATAATTTACTGGACCCAGCTAATGTCTTCCCAGCCCAATTTTAAAAATCTGGAAGTAGATTAATTCCATTTTCTGTTTCCTCATGATGTAAGCCTTATTGGTAGAAGTTTAAATGCCTGTTCAATGCCAAACCATGGCATGAAAAAGCCAGTATTTGCCTAGGTATAACCAGGACAGAATTTTCAGTAGTTTATTTTGACTGATTTTGTTTCCCATTGGTTGAAGGTAAACAGCAAGACAGATTAAAAAAAATTGAGTTTAAAAAACTTTTTTTTAAGTAATTAAACTGGGATAAATTTGAAAAATATAAAAAAGGCAACTTACCCAGAAGTGGCATAGGTTGGCTGACAGGAGCAGGCATAGGTTGGCTGGCAGGAGCAGGTACGTTAGTCGGTGCTACTGGTGGAGGAACAGTTGCATACATTTTGGAACTATCACTAGTTTCAGAATTTCCTCTAGATCCAGAAACTACTGTTGGAATAGGATTTCCAACAGATGCATCCTTTGTAGTGTCTTCACTTACACCAGTCGCAGTAGCTAAGGAACAAATTACATTAGTGTAAAAAAGTTAATATTATTTTTCCTGTATGCGTACAATGTTCTCTCTGTAGTTACCTTTCTCAGCTTACAAACACTTACAGTTTGGGATGTTTACTGGTGGAGTGTGAGGAACAGATACGGGAACAGATACTGGAGGGGTTATAGGTGGTGGTGGCCCAGGAGGAAGAAAACCTATACAAATCAGAAAAGGATCAAGTTTAACACTACATCATACTTTTACATCACGTGTTAATTCTGTAGTTTCACACAGACACACTTAATGATTACTGGATTAAACTAAAGTATATTTTCTGGAAGCCTTCTATATACCTGGTGGCAAATGCATTGGGTTGAATCCAGGTCGTAAAAATGGAGGTGGTGGTGGGGGAGGAACCCCAGGGGCAAATCCAGGAGGTGGGATTCCCATTGGAGCAGTGAAAGCAGGTGGCTGGAGAGCACCAACTACAGGAGGGCCGGATGGGTGTGGTGGAACCTACGAAGAAAGATAAGAATTACCCATAACATTAAAAATGTCTATATATTAAATTACCATGTCACATTTAAACAAGGAAAACATCTGTGGTTAATGAACTGAAGTGACTGTTTCTGGCTATCATGTGATTCAAGTTTTTATTAATCTATCACAACTTTCATATCCAGTTTTCATTTAAACATTATAAATACAAAACAAACAAACAAGCTTTCCTGCATTTTTCTCAGCTTTGAACAAACAGAACTGAACTAAACTGAAGTGAAGAAAGTGTTCTTTCTGCAACTGCCGAAATGACTACTTCCAGGTAACTTACCAGTAAGTTTCCCCCAGTTCAGAAGTTTGACTTTGTTTATAAAACTTGAGCAACAGACAGTTCTGCTTAATGTTTAAATTAACTGAATAGATAATCAGTTTCAACTTCTAGGGATGTACAATAGAGATTTTTGGGGCCAATCTGGATCTGATTTCCAATATAGCCACCTCCAGCTGGAAAGTCCAGTGTGGTGGAAGGAGGGCAGAGCCATGGAAGGGGCAGATCAATGCCCCCCACAGTGAGGGAGAGGGCAGGGGTAGGCACTGCCTAGGCAGGGTGGGAGCCATGGGTCGTTTGGGGGTGGGGGGTGGGAGGGGTCGTCCCACCACTGCTTGCACCCTGGGAGAGCATGGAGGGGGCAGGGTAGTGTACCCCCTGGATCTGCAAAAGGCTATTCTCAGCAGGGCCCAGGCTCAGAGCAGGTGCCAGTGGTGCTGGGAGGATGCTGCATCCACCCCAAATTTCACTGCTGCTCTACTCCCAGCACTGCCACCACCAGCCACCTGGCGCAGCCCCGGCTCAATGCCTCACCTCCACCCATGCACTGGCAAGAGCTGGGGCTTCACTGGGAGTGGAGTGGCGGCAAAATCTGGGGTGGATGCAGCATCCTCCAGGCCTCACCAACACCTGCTCCAAGTCCAGCCCCTGCCACAAGAGCCCCACGCAACCCGCCCCACCCTGATCCTTTGAACAGAAAGTCCTTTTTTTTGGTTTATTTCACACAACTGAAATGTAAAAATGAAACAGAATACAGATAGGCGTGATTTTACTGAAACACAGGAACAAAAAAACCCAGTTAAATTACATCTGAGTGAACTATGAGCATATATATATGGGGTACCATCTTAGGAAAGAAAGCTATTCCTTTTGTATATTCAGTCACATCAGCCCATCTGAGTAGTACAAGTAGATTACAAGATTAGTATTATTCCTAAAAGCAATAGAGTTACTGTAGCCAAAGAGCTGAACTACAGTACCTGGGCATAAAAACTGTTTTATTAAATTCAAACTATAGGACCATTTAAAGCTGTGACGTGTCACCTAAGATAACTAGGCAGACTATGCTTTACCAGCCAGATTGGGCTGCGAACCCCCCCCCCCCCCCCCAAAAACCCCAACCCTGTGAATGTGAAACTTGAAAGAGAGAAGACCAGCTCAAACCCCAAGTCCTAGGCTGAGGTTGTGTGATTTACCAGAAATAAAAGCTGGTATTTGTCATAAATTTTTGCCATCTCCGAGTTTGCAAAAAAAATTTGCAAAAAAATGTTGCTAATAGATTACATTAGCTGGTATTTTGTTGCCATAAAATTAATACAATTGACACAGAAAGGGCTCCATTATTTATGTCAAGAAAACTGTTTTCTGAATAACCTTTTTTAAAAGGCAACTTTTTTTGAGAATATACTTGTACTGAATTACATGAACTACATGACCCAACATAGTTTTTGTTATAAAACATTATAAAACTTAACCTTTATTTACACTGCCTTGCTGTAATGGTTATATTCCTAAATCTTAAGACAAAATTTTACCCTTTTTAATAGATAACTTGCATAACATTGATTTATGTCTTGCTAATGTAGATAGACCTTTACTTGGTGTATTTACTAGGGCTGTGTGAAGCCTCAGTCACTGATTCGATTTGGAGGAGTTTCAGCCTGATTTGGTGGCCGAATCTTCAAATCCAAATTGAATCAGCAAACCCTTTAATCTCTCCAAATTGAATCAGAAGCCTCCAGATTGATTTGGAGAGATTCAACAATTTGGCCATAGACACAGCTTTATATGTTTTTTCTACATACCTTGGAGGTACCAGGTGCAGCTTGTGAATGCCGAGATGGTGGAGTGTTCTACGGGAGCGCCGGGGCGGGGAAAAGGGGGCGTGCATGGCAGCAGACTCAGAAGTGGACCACAAGTATTTCCGGTCCACTTTCAGGTCTACCGCCAAGCACGTGGAGGACCCCCCACCTCGCTCCCGTGGGACGCTCCATCCACCCCACCATCTCAGTGTTCATGAGCTGCGCTTGGTACCTCAAGATGTTAGGGCCAAATTGCTGATTCTCCAAATCAGAATTGAATCTTCAGATTCAGCCACATCAAAAATCGGAACGGTGATCCGAATCAGCGAATTAAATCACTGTCCCCTGAATCTGGCTGAATCCAAACCGAATATGGCCTGCTTTGTACATCCCTGGTATTTACCTTCAACATGTTATTTATAATAATTGTTGTGGTTTTACATCTGGATGTGCTGCACCTAAAAATTCAATACAAGGAACCCACACATCAAGATGCAGTTTTTTTCCATCCACTTATTGAATTTTATTTTAATGTATTTATTTCCTATTGCCTCTACACACGGACAACAAGAAGAGAGATAGATGTGAATCGTATCAACGAGTAACAGGAGAATATTTCCTTCCATAATTTTAAAATACAAGCCATACAACTTTCAGCACACACATCACTGAAAGTTAAACGTCTTTTAAGATTTAAAAGGTCCCCAAAAGATACTTCAGAAAACAGCATGCAGTTGTGAACCATTAGTGGACTTCTGAACTACCCTCTCCAAGTAAGAAACGAAACATAGTAGAGAATCCACACAAAAGTACTGATTGTAGCTTTTGACCTTTTGGGAACATATTCAGACAAAAAATGCTGGATTTCGATGTCCTAGAACATGGGAGGCAAACTTACCTGGCCCCATGGGCTGGATAAGGTTGGCTAGGCTGGTCTGAGGGCCCATGGTTCTAGGTCCAACCTGCACACTGCCTGGAGCACTTGCCAGCCCCACTTTGCCACCTGCACTGCACACAACATGCAGGCTGGACCTGGAGCTGCATATGGCACAGGAAATCCAGGGCACAGTCTGCATGCCGCGCCCCATTGAACTGGCCAGTCCAGATCAGGCCATAGGACATCCATATGCACCAAAGCCAGTGTGCAGTGCCAGTCTGGCAGAGTACCAGATACTACTCTGGATCCTGTGCCGTGTGCAACACCAGGCCCATCCCATGTGCAAAGCAAGCCCCAGAGTGGAGTCAGTGTGTGGCTTTGTGCAGTAGCTCTGACATGGTCCAATCCAGACCACAGCATGGGGCTGGGGCCAATGCTTGCCTCATCTGGCGTGTGGGTTTGGTCCAGAGACCCACAGGCCAGATCATAAGGCTCCACAGCCATAAGTTTGATGCCCTTGCTTAGTTTCTCCAACTCCGGTAAGTTGTTCACAGGATAACAAGTTTTTAAATACCACTATTATATAATTGCTAGCTAAGGGCTACAAAAAATCTTTCCACTTTAAAGCCTGACATTTGAAAATAGCATGCATTTCATTATCCTATTAGATTAAGAGAGGCCTAAAGCAACCTAAACAATTTTGTACAGAAAGAAAACCATAGATTTACCCATTTTTTAAATATTTAAACCAATTCCATTTCTTAAATGGAAGCTGGGTTCCAATATTGCCTGTCCCTGAGTCTGCCTGCCATTTTGTGGTCTGCTGATCACATTCCTTAAGTTAAAAAAAAAAAAAAAAAAGCATTCTTTTTGTCCTCCTACTTTAAGAAAAACCTGAAGTAGGGAACACTTGGAAGTTTTACAAGTGCAGCTAGCAATACACAGATGACTGCCAAATAAGCAAAGTAAAGGAGAAAGAAAATTACTTCTCCCTCATCACCCAATGGTTTGGTTGGTTTTTTGGGTTGTTTTTTTTTTTTAAACTTATCTTAGGCATCACAACTGCCAGTATTGGTATACATTTCAGCCAAATATCATTTAAGTCACTGTCTCCTTAACTAAGGGGAACACCATCAATGTAAAGTATACAACCATTATTGTGTACCAAAACTACAGTTCAGAAATTTGAATGAATGACTTAAAGACTACTCAGTGAGATGTACAAAAGTATTCCAATTATGTTTGTATATTCTGTTCAGATTTTAGAAGTGCTGTATCTTATTTAAGTTAGTAAGTCGCTTTATAAACAGTACATTGAACAAGCCAAGGCAGTCTGTGATAAACTGAGACTGAAAGATCATGACCTCTCTAGTTAAGAAAAACCATGTGATAATTTTCACTGAAACAAAGCTTATGTAAAACAGGTAATATACCTCAAAGAAAGATTTCCTAGGCATACTTAAAGCATCAACTTCTTCTATGATCTTAGTATAAGTTTGGGGTGGAGGTCAGCACAGTTTAGGGATGAGATCAGCAGCCAACAGTAGCAAAAGAACAAGATAAGGACTATTTAGAAAAGCTGCATGTGTACAAGTCAACGAGGCTGCATGGGATGCACCCAAAAGGTACTGAGGGAGTTAGCTGACATGACTGAAAAGCCACTGGCCATCATCATGGTGATGGAGAGAGGTCCCAGACTATTGGAAAAGGGGAAATATAGTGGTCAGCTTTAAGAAAGGGAAGGAGGTGGATTTGGGGAACTACAGACAGGTCAGCCTCACCTCAGCCCCTGGAAAAATCATGGAGCAGGTCCTCAAGGAACTCATCTCTAAGCACTTGGAGGAAAAGAAGGTGATTAGGAACAGTCAACATGGATTCACTAAGGGCAACTCGTGCCTGACTAACCTGATTGCTTCTATGAGATGACTGGCTCTGTGGATGTGGGGAGACCAGTAGATGTGGTATACCTTGACTTTAGCAAGGCTTCTGATACAGCCTCCCACAACATCTCACGAACAAGCTAAGGAAGTATGGGTTGGATAAATGGGATGTAAAGTGAATACAGAGCTGGCTGGACTGGACCACTGGGCTCAAAGGGTAGTAGTCAATGGCTCAATGTCTAGTTGGCAGACAGTATCAAGTGGAATGCTCCGGGGGTCAGTCCTGGGGCTGGTTTTGTTCAATGTCTTCATCAACAACCTAGAAGATGGCATCGAGTGCACCCTCGGAAGTTTACATCAAGATGACACCAAGTAATAGATACACTAGAGGGTAGGGCTAGGATTCAGAGAGACCTCAATAAATTGGAGGTTTGAACCAAAAGAAATTTCACGAGGCTCAGTAAGGACAAGTACAAAATCCTGCACTTAGGACAGAACAATCCCATGTACCACTGCAGGCTGGGAGCCAACTGGCTAAACAGCAGCTCTACAGAAAAGGATGTGGGGGTTACAGTGGACAATAAACTAAATACGAGCCAACACTTTGACCTTGTTGTGAAGACAGTGAACGGCATACTGGGCTGCACTGGTGAGATCACATCTGGTGTACTGTGTTCAGTTTTGGGCCCCCCACTACAGAAAGGATGTGGACAAATTGGGGAGAGTCCGGAGGGTAACCAGAATAGCAAGGGTGCTGAGGGACATGGCTTATGAGAAGCTGAGGGAGCTGGACTTAGTCTGGAGAAGAAAGGACTAAACGGAGATTTAATAGCAGCTTTCAACTACCTGAAAGGTGGTTCAAAAGAGGATGGAGCTAGACTGATCTCAGTGGCAGCAGATGATAGAACAAGGACAATGGTCTCAAGCTGCAGCAACAGAAAGTTTAGATTGGATATTAGGAAGAACTTTCTCACTAGGAGGAGTAAAACAATGGAACAGGTTACCCAGAGAGGTTACACTCTCCATCCTTGGAGTTTTTAAAATAAGGGTAAGACAAAGCCTTGGCTGGGATCATCTCGTTGGGGATGGTCCTGCTTTGGGCATGGGGTTGAACTAGATGACTTCCTGAGGTCCCTTCCATCCCTAATTTTCTATGATTCTATGATGAAACTTAATACAATGCCCAAGTAATTTTGGTACATTCAGTCACTGCCCAATGCCACATTTTGAATTCAGTATCTACAGATGTAAGCACTAATAAAGTCCTTAGTACAGCCACATGATCAATACAGTATTCACACTCACTTCCTGCAGCTTCTATAGTCTTTTACATTTTCTGTTAATTTGACTTGGCTCAGCTGCTGAAATCAGACCAGCTGCTTTATCTTGACTGGACCCAGAGGTCTGAGACTAGATAAGATGCATTTTTTCCAACATAAGAAGGTTAAAGCTTTATCATCAATTAGTTGTCCAACTTGAATGGTCTTCCCTCTGCCTTCATGTCACACAAACAGCCTACACTCCTAATCAGAGAAGGCACATCAGGATACAAAATAAAGAAAATTATTTATAATGCCAAGCAGAACTTCTCCCCTCTAACTCATGAATGAATATGCTGAACTTTGATTTTAAGTAGCCTTCTAGTTTCAATGTCCAGCCACAAACTAAGAAAAAAAAAGAAAACAAAATCTCACCTGTGGAGGAGGCACAGTTATTGGTGCAGGCATGGGAACAGGAATTGGAACAGGTAAAGCTTTAGGTATTGGTGACACTGGCTCAGTATGTGTGGTTTCTGCACCTCCATTTTGAGCAACTTCATTCTCAGATTTCTTAGGAATTCCTTTCCACTCTGAAAGAAATGAATAGACACTGTTTCAGTTGAATTAGTACAAACCATACTCGCTGTCAACCATTATTAATTAGAGCCACTGTGAATTACTTTTGAAAGTTTAATTTTGCCACAAATGAGTGATTTGTTCAAACTGATGTTATACAGTATTTCATATTTGGATGGAAAGTTATGCTTTTTTTGCCTCAAACTAATGAAAATAATGCCAGTTTTAGGGTGGAGTTGCTTGGAACAAGCTCTATTCAAGAAATTTAGTTATTCCAGGGCAAAGGAAAGTAGTTTCCGCTCTATGATAATCGTTATGTTGGGGGTAATGATCTTATACAGTCCATACTCCTGGGCAAATAAAAAGAAGCCAGTCTGGCAGCATGCAATAAAAGATCAATATTAATTACAGCCCCCCAATGCAATTTAGAATGAAAACATATTTTGGAGGCTCTATTGACCATTAATGTTTTCCATGAAAGGAGACAAGGGGAAACCAAAGGAGATGACCAGCAAGACAATTTGAGGAATGGAGAAAAGCAAGGTATCAATTAAGGAGAAGAAAAGCAGGAAGAAAAAAAAAATACAAGAGGTCAGGAAAAAAACTGCACAAAGATAAACCCAGGCATTCATATATTCACTATTTGTTTTTGTATATCCATAACGGCTAACTGGACTAAACAACATTGAACTAGCATTGTTGAGCCACTGCTGTTAACCACACACAATGGCAGAAGGTTAAAAAAAAGTCCTAATGTCCTAATTACTAGCTCACAAACCAAGAAAGTAACTTTCAAATTTAAAATGTCTTGTATTTAATACAAGAAATGCAAAACTCTAGAACTATTGGTTCAGAGAGGATCCTTTTTTTTTTTTTTTTTTTTTTTTAGGTAAGAAACTGCCAAAAAAAATTTTTTAAGTGTGTACTTAATACAACATACTTTTGCTAATAATGCTGTCATAATTAGTTTGAAAGCCGTAATAATTAAGCAACTGACCTTGTGTGGCTTACCGTAAATTATCATTTTCTTATTATACATAAAAACAAATGTGTATTTATAGCGCACATTTATAGAAATATGTGGGTACATCTTAGTTAAAATCAAATACAAAAATATTACCAAAATAATGTTAAAACTAATACGGAAGCCATAATAAAGACATTTATGAAAAAATGCCATTCACAGGTCTACTGAGATATATAAACCCAAGAATTCATTTGAAGACTTTTAAAATCAGGTTATATTTTACCTGGACTAAGCGTTTCATTATCCAACACTCCTCCTTCACAGAAACTTTCAAGATCTTCAGGCTTAACTTTGTCCCAGGGAATATAGGTAACACCTAATTCTACATCCCAATACTGTTTATAATCTGGTTTAATTCCTTTATTTAAAGCCCATGCGATCTTAAAGAAAAAGAAATGGATAGTTAATGAATAGTTTGTATTTTAAGTTTGCTCAGGACTAACTCCTCTCTAAGTTGAGTAGCATTCAGCATCACAATACAAGCTTGATATCATGAATCAAAAGATACCGCAGACAACTGAAACCCAATTAAAAATTTAGAGAAATCATAATTACTTAAGAATACAGTTATCTGAAGTGGAATTTAACCAGGACTTCAGATCGAATTCTTATATAAATTTGGCAAAAGATGCTCCCACAACCTACTAACTGCCTTAGAGTTTTGAAAGGCTTATTTATGTACAACAGGGTAAACCCCCCTAAAAGCAAAGAAAGAGCATTAAATGTTTGTAAGTATTACCTCAACTAGATACCTACTGACCAGCAGAAGCTGCATAGTAATTTGCTCTAATCGTGAGTAAGTTTGCTACCTGTAAATACAAGTAGCAAATTTACTCACAATTACTTACTATACCATATGGCACATGTAGATAGCCAACCAGGAGTAAATTTGCTCCCAGTCAGCAGGGGCCAGGAGATTGCTCCCTGCCCACTGCTAAAGGTACTAGAGCCCAGGCAGGGAAAATGTCCTTGAGCCCCAGCAACAGGGAGTTCCCAGGCCCTGCTCCCTTACTGTGACTGCCATCCAGCCGAGAGCTTGCTGCCAGCTGCCCCACTGACAGATTGGGGCTGGGACCTGCCCCTCCCCTGTGGCTCTAAGTGCCTTGGGGCCCCAATCGGGGAGCCAGGGCCAGGAGCTCCCTGCTGCCAAGGGGGATATTGTTCCTGTCCAGGCTCTGGTGGCAGAGCCCTCCCCAGCAGCAGACAGCCCCACCAGAAGCAGGGAGCAATCTCTCAGCCCCCACCAGGAGACAGCTGTCCCCCGGCCCATGTTCCCTGCCAGCCCCTGGGCTAGCAGGGAGCTCCCCCTAGCTGCTGCAGAGGGCCAGGAGCAGACTATTGCCAAGAGCAGATCTGCTCCCACATCCCTGCACATTTAGACACCTGCCTGGGGTGGGTTTACACTAGCATAATTTACTCTAGAATCTAGAGTAAACCCACTCTGCAGCATTTACACATGTAGGCATGCCCTGAGTAGTTAGCTTGATAACTAGTTAACTGAAGTCAATTGTCTCTCTCAAGGAAACAGCCCTGTTAAGATGATCAAAAGGAAGAATGTAACTTTATTTAGTCCTGTGTTCTCTACAGGTTTCCCATTCAACTAAATTCAATCTTGTTGGGTTTTTTTCCTTGTAAACTTTTTTTTTTTTTTTTTAATTATACACACAGTCTTTTTTAACTATTTTAAAGAGAGTTTCAAAAAGGCATCTTTTTTGTCAATGTGAGAGAAATCCTTAAAAGGGAATGGATCCAAATTCATTATTTAGCTGAAGTTTACTCACCAACAACCAAAATAATTATGTCATTCATCTAAAAGATACCTAATACTGTATTTAACAGTTTAACAGGTAAAATATAAAATAAAGATTGTAAATTTTAGAATTGAATCAATTTCAAAATTCTTTTCAAAAGTGATACCTTTATAGATTTCTGATTGACTTTGAAGTTGCCTCGGCTCAATTTTTGTAGGGCACGATAAGCATCTTGTCTGTGAACCATTACAATATAGGCACATCCTCTAGGTGGTATCATCTGTCACAATCACAAACATAACATTACTTAAGCTTCTGCACTGACAGAACAAAGCAAACAATAGCACACATTTCATTTGTTGCATGCTTTAACATCAGTCTTACATTACAAGAAGTACTATGGGTGAATAAGAGGGCATAAGCAAGCTAATGCATAGTAGTACCCTTTTATGAATGTAAATGTGTTTACATTCCACATGAAGAAAGGATGCTGACTGTTAAAGGAAGCTTGCTACTAATACATTAACACTTCTTGCCTCGGTCTTCCCAAAACTTAATTCCCAACTAACTTCCATTTTCACTTTCCTTTGCGTAACAATTTCCAATATATCTGAAGAAGAATGGTTCCTCTAAATTTGATAAATTTCAGTAGACAGAAGAAAACAGGTGCCATGTGTTATGGATTTTTAAAAAATTATGTATTTTTAAAGAAAAAGTTTACTACTACTATAAACACTATTTCCATTTAAAAAAAAAATCAATGCAGCAACACCGTCATGGATACTGCCATACGCTTAAACATAGTAGGAAGGAAAACACAGGAGTAGGGTGTTCACACAAACAATTTCTACAATCAAGGGTCTCCATATAACTAATATGGGCCAGGCAAATGGAGGACAGAATCTGTCTGACGCATATTATGCGTCTCCTTAGCCCATTAGCCAAGCAACTGGAACAGGGGTAACTACCCTGGAGTTAAGCCCAAAAGTAATGCTGCTTTTAGAACACAAGCACAGCTTTCTCTCACTTTATGCGGGTTCTGTACGTGCGAATTCACTCTTATGCGATGACCCTTTTTATACCAAAAATTCATTATATGCAAGGTAAATTCACTCTTATGTGGGAGTGATGCACACCAAAATATAGTCTCCTGTGTGGAACTGTGCTCCTCGCTTGCTGTCTGTGACGCATGTTTCTATAGCTGCCATCCCCATTATGGCTTCTAAGCGTCCTGCTAGCTTATTTCCTACCCCTCTCCCTGGTCCATCAATGAAGAGCAAGAGAACTTCACTAACACTGGAGAAAAAACTGGAGATTTTGAACTGTGCAGAAGCTGGTGAGGGGCCAGAAATGTGGTAGAAATGGGTCTGGGGGTCAGTACAGTCAAGTCTTGGAATGCATCCTTATTTGTTACATTGTAAAGTGGGCTCTCTTTATGCAAATTCAAGTTGTGTGCCATTTTCCAGGAATACATGTACAGCATAAAGCAAGGGAAACCTGTACACGTTGTGGCAACTGCTCTGTATTTTCCATAGAACTGTTTTACTTAATTAGAAAGTGATGTAAATAAGAGAAAGAGGCAAATGCTGACCTTGCTTTTGAATACTAAAAATAACATTTTAAATAAATGGGTGGAAAAAGCCTCTTTGCAACTAAAACATAAGACTTCTGCTTGGTTTTTTTTTTTTTTTTTTTTTGCTATTTATACTCACATTTATAGATTCAATTGGGCCAAACTCCTCCAAAAGACTTCCAACATCTTGCTGAGTTGTTCTTTTGTCCAGTTGTCCTACCCAAAGTGTAGTACTACAAACTAGAATTAAAAAAATATACCTTTTAAATTTTAATTTTAAAAGTTTGACATTTTACTACTTGTACTTTTAAATGCAATTCTTGTGGTAGGAAAGGTCATTACAGATAACTAAAGATTTTTCCTCCGCTTGAAGAGGATACAAAACAACACGAATCTTTCAGAACTATCTAAAAGCTATTTCCTTTTTTCCTTCCTTCTAGAGATGAACTCAGGGTTTCACTTGTGCCCTTTACAATAGTCACTATTTTAACCACTATTAGAATACATATATACAGACTTCAAATTTGCAAATACTTATCTGGGATTTCTGACGTTCATGAGCTTTGCAATTTAACATAATAAGGGAAACAATCCCCTTACACTCTATCAGCATAGACCTATGGATCTGCCTGATGTGATGGATAAACACTAAAGCAACAATGATGCTATTGCTATAGATTTCCATTGCAGTCCAGTGCAGCAGGCTGTAAAGGAAGAGACAGTAAGAATGGAAGAAGCTGGTACCTAACTTAGTTGTGGCACCAGGTGCAACATTAGAATGGTCTTGCCTGTAGCCAGGACAATCCAGTAAAAGTGAATGACATTTTTGTTTTTTTTCTCTGTGATATTCCTGATACTGTTCCCTTCTATGCTTCAGAGATGAAGATATATATTGAGTATACTGCTCAGAGAGAAGCAGGCAAGGAACATACCTAAGGAGTTTTACAACTCAAGTAATTTTTTAGATTGAAGATACTTCAATATACCAGCTCCCACAGCCACCCTTCATAGGTCCTTAGCTTCTGTTTTCCCTTCTCCTTTGGCAGGTCCCAAGCAGTTAGCCCCAGATCTCAGTGGCAGTAAAAATGACGAATTAATCAAGCAAGGTGTTGGCAAAGTAGTATTTAAACCTCTGTTGAGGTGCTTGGCAAGATCAGTTATCCTTCTGTTAGTGGCACCGAGTGTCACCCAAAAGTCTCCGCTGTTCAAGAAATCCTTTAGCTGCTGCCAGATACATGTCAAAGAAAGAGTCTTGGTCCTGGAGTAGCATTATAATAATGGTCTTGTTTTGTCTGACTCTAGGAATTCCTTCACATGCTCAAGGAGGACTTAGGGAAAAACCTTCCTATAATTCATCTAGAAATGTAGACAGAATCAAGGTCACAAGAGTGCAGCGTTGCTGGTTCCCACATCCCTTCACAAATCTCTCATTCAGATTCAGACTACTGAACAGAAAACAGAAGCAGGCTGGCTCAACTGAAAGAGGCAAAGACTATGAGAGAACATCACATGACTAGAGAGAAGCAGATGAACCCCAAGGCACAGCAATACTCCAATAAGGTGACATTATCCAAGTACAAAAGGAACTGGAAAACAGAATGCAATACACTAACTCCATGTTAGCCTCAGAATAAGCTAAACTATCCTGTTGTGGTTTAGGAGACTTTAATCCAGACGGGCCTCAAAAATTCCCATGGCAAAAGGCACCAAGGTAAATCCAGACAATCCTTAGCACAAGGAGGGGACTTAACCTTTCATTTGGATCAAAGAAAGGATTTCTAATAGTCTTCATGGTGGGGGATCATGCAGCAGTGCAGGAGAGGTAAATCCCAGCTTCTCCCTAGAAAAACCAGTCTTTATCTGAGGCACTGCAGAAGCCAGGAGAGACAGACACACCCGTAGACTTTAGAAGACATAACTGCAGTCCCTGGTGCATACTACCCTACATCCCACTCTGATCCTCAAGTCTGATATTTCTGCCTTCAGAATTCCATTTTTCATTTGAAGACAGATCTCAAACAATCTAAAATCCTAGGCCAACCTACCTGTGCAGATAAACTGGGTAATGGTCCATCATTAATGCCAAAATGAGGCATCAGCAGACTACCTATGTCCTTAGACCAACACGGCTACAACCAACACCCCTGAAAAATGGGACATGAACTTTTGTCAAGCCAAGCAGGACTGCCCCTCAGCACTAAGGAGTCAGCATGAGCTGAAATTTTCCAGCACTGAGGATCCCTGGCATGAGCATTTCCTGAAATACATCCAACACATTTTGCATGGATATCAAATTTCACATAAATCTTCCATTATGAATCTTGACTACAGTGCTAACTTAGACACAAATTCCCTTCTCACAGAATTAAGATAATTACATAACTGCTGAAACAGCTTACAGGTCATTTATAATCTTGCACAGATCCAAGACCCTTTATCTTGACCAAGTCAAAGAGCTTGAATTTCTTGGTTTCCTTAACCAGGAAACCTAAAGCAAGTGTTCAGTGGCTGTCTTTCTGGGTTCAGTGAGTGGAAGATCAACACAAGCACTAGATGGAAAATAACCCTCAAGGTAGTAGACAGACGTATCAAGGATAGGATTAGAATCAGGCAAGACATGAGCTGCTTAAAAGTGCCATCCCTCAACGAACCAATTGAAGCAAAATAAACAAACATTGGAGAACTGGAAAATACAAACCCTTACACTACACCGACAAGTTATATTAGGCATTTGAGGGGAAAAAAAAGCTTACATTTCCTCAAAATGAAGAATGCATGCCTAATTCTGCAGATTGTATATCTACACATGACCACAGTCAGAATGAACAGAGCAGATGAGGCAGCACTTCCTACCTAACCTCATCTGTGCACACTAAGTGTGCATTCAGAGGATGCTTGTTCATTAAGGAATACAAAAAACACAGGTTACTGATGCATTAAGCAATTTCCCTGTTTACTGAACATCTTTTCTTGGGAGGGCATAGATTAGTGGGCACATTTCCTTATGTTACTTCAAACTAGTCCAGAAAAAGTAAAATAGCAGCCCCATTCTTTGTCACGCTGAGCAGAAGCTGCATGGAACAGACTTTATTAAATGCAAAAAACTTGGGTCCACAGATAATGCCCCAAAGCAGTTCTTCAACTATCATACACTTTATCTCATTAGATTTTAGGGGCATTTTTACATGTGCTCCAGGGGTGGGTACTTTAATTACAGTGACTCCGAGATCCAAGATCCGAGCCTTAATTAAAGCAGCTGGAGCGTCTTGTGTATCAGCATCTCTGCACTTCTAAACGGCAGTCGGGGTGCTTTATCTAAAGATCGAATGAGCTTTAAAGTGCCCCTGCTGTCATTTAGAAGCACGGGAATGCTGATAAACAAGACATGGAGGCTAGCTGGAACACAGTAATTACCATGCTCCAGCAGACTCATTTACTCAAGTCTGCTCCGATATGCTGTAATTACAGTGTGTTGGAGAAGCCACCTGGCTCATGTACAGGCACCCTAGAAGCTTAGTTCCACATTTGAATTTTTAGCTGTTTTATTAGTTGCAATATTTTTCTGAAAGTGCAATTTCTTCAAACTCAAAAACTAGATCTGTAAAAAGTTTAAAAAAAAAAAGAAGTCCTGACATTTTGCACAAAATGAACCTGTGAACAGGAAGACTGAGAATCTGAGAAGCAGCATAAGAACAAATTTGCTGTCTTTGTTACAGAAGTAAATTGAATTGTGAGAACTCACCACTAACAGTTTCTGGCTTGATTTGAGGAAGGCCTTTTGATCTGCGTTCTCTCTCCCTCTCTCGTTCACGTCTCTCCTGAGATCGAGACTTTGGCGAGTGCCGGCGCCTATCCCGAGATCGGGAGCGAGAACGACGATGACGTGACCGTCGAGACCGAGATCCAGATCTTGATCGTCTTCTCTTGGGCGATCTAGTTTTAAACAAAAACATTTAAGCCACATGATAAGTTTTGTCTACATACACTATTTGTTATATACCATCATGGTCCTACAGACAAACACTCTAGAGCAGGGGTAGGCAATGTTTTTTGGCCGGAGTGCCGAAAAAACCACAATGTCTACCTTGTAAGGTGCCAGAGTGCCACCATGCCACAAAAACAAAAAACTGGGGCAGAGTGGGTACATGGCAGGATACACTGCATATTTAATACTATTAATAATCATTAATGTTGCTTTTTTTTTTTTTTTTTTAATTATTTACTGGAAAAAAAAAAGCTGGTGTCAGGTGAGGATCAGGGGCTGCCCCAGGGCTCCACTACTCGGGCTACAGCAGGGGGCCCAGCAGCACCAGAGGTGGGGCCCAGCCAGCCTGTGCAGCTCCGCAGGGATGGGGCACAGACACCCTGCCCACAAAGGGACGTTGCCTGGTTGGGACAGGAGGCTGGACTCAGGGGGTTCCTGCTTAGTCTGTGTGCGCCGGGTACAGTGAAAGTGGGAGCTGCAGCCACAGGCTGTTCCCCGGGTTCTAGGAACAGCCGCTGCAGCCAGTGCTCAGGGCTGAGCCAGCCAGAAGCCTGCAGCACAGCAGCTCTGTGCAGTGCCTGCCCTAGTGCTGGCCCCTTGAGGGGAGCTGTGGGTGGGCAAGGCCGGGACCCAGGCAGACCAAGGCAGCTGCGGTGGCTGTTCCCAGGCTCCAGGGGGCTCCTGCGGCCAGGCCCCTGCACTGGGGACAGCTCTGCCCTGCCTGCAATGTGCCCAGCATGCAGGGAGGCCAATCCGGGAGACGGAAGTCCCCCGAGCCCAGTGTCCTGCCCCAGCCAGGCAGCATCCCCACGTGTGCAGGGGTGCTGCAGCCCATCCCCACGGAGCTGCGCGGGCTGCCCAGGCCCCACCACGGGTGCTGCTGGGCACCCCTGCCTGCCCACCCACCACAGCTCGAGCCTGCAGAGCCCCAGGGCAGCCCCCCACTTCCCACCCAGCCCCCACCTTCCTAAGGGCCCAACCAAGCTGGCTTGCCCACGGCACCTCCCCCCAAACCATCCCAACCACCCAGCCCCAGCACTCAGCATCTCAGTGCTGCTCCAGGTGGGACAGGGCATCTGCCTGCCTGGGCAGCTCCCTCCAGGGGCCAGCCGGGCTGGAGGGTGCAGCCTGGGAGCATGGGGTGGGGGCAGTAGTGCACAGACAGCTGCCCTGCCTGCGTTCTTCTGGCTCTGCCCCAGTGTCTGCCGCAGCGCTGGAATTTGTGGCTGCACAGGAGAGCCCAGAGCAGCAACTTTAAAAAAAAAACAAACCAAAAACCCCCAATTTCTTTGCGTGCCAGGAAAAATGTCTCCACATGCCACTAATGGCACATGTGCCAGTGGTTGCCAACCCCTGCTCTAGAGGATGCCCTGGCTCCTCTAAAGGTAGAAACTGAAATCCCTTTATAATATGGGGAGCTGCCCCAGAACTGAAGTGCCACACACCTCTATAAATGAACACTCACTCACTTGCCCTGTGGAATCTAACTGTTCCATGCCAAGTGAAACAAGTTCAACAGTGCCCACAAAAAACCTACAGTGCAATGGCTGGGGGACTACCCTGGACATGGGAGATGTGGTTGATAAACACCGTCTCATCACCACCACTTTTTTCCCCAGTGTTTTGCACACAGCTTGATCTGCTAAGCCTGCCATGAGAATATGGGTCAATCAAGCCCACTGGACAATGCTAGGGCAGGAACAGTTCCTAAATAATAAACAGACTTTTGATATGACAGATGTGGAGCTCTGTCATTATTGCAGTACCTCTGGGCCTCCTTAGTTGTTTTCATGATGAAAACTTCAGCACCCACATATAGTCTTTAGGCATCTCCTCAGCAGCAGCTGAACGGGGGTTTTGCATGTAGAAATTAGGAGGAACCGAGACACCTAGGGTGGTGGTAGTGGTGGCGGCGTTCCATAAGACGACTTAAGCAACTTGTTTCAAGCAACAAAGACAAAGCAGAGGTTTGCATTCCCTGAACCTCAAGCTGTCCTCTAGGTCCCAAGGTTCTTAAGCTGACAACCACACACAATTTTGCTGACAAAAAAAGTTTACCTTGAAGCAGATCTAGATCTTGACTTTCTGTTATCAGAAACATGTCGCTTTCCTTCTTGAACAGGGGGCTGTTCCACTTCCATTTCCTGAAGTGATCCACAAGTTAAAAGGGTGTCATTATTGTAAGAATTTTATTTCAGGCTGCGATTATTTCAGTCAGTCAAATCCATTGCTGAGGTTAAGCAAAACTAAACTAATATTTAGCTCTGGAACAGAAACTTTCAAACAGGTCCCCTTCACACATTACTTTTTTGTGGGTTCAAAGTACAGGTCTTGACATTTTTTTGTAACATGCCAAGTGTTCAGGCAAGCTATACCTCAATAAAAATGGCAAACCAGTTGCAGAGCAGAGCTTTAAACTTACTGGCATGGGGCGGGGGGTGCGGTGGTAGGGCAGGGGGCTGCGCAGGGGCACACATCAGTCCCCACACACAAGGGCATTTAAAGCTGTAACTGTAGATGCAAACTCCCTCTACAACCCCCAGATCCACAGTGCCCATGCAGCCAGATACACAAGCCCTACGTTTCAAGGTGCACAGCACCAATAGCTGAGGATCAGAGAGCTTCAGTATCCCCAGCTCCCTCCACCTTGGTGGGTATGTCCCGGGCAGATATGGGACTCAGATCTGACAAGTTTTAATCATAGATCCCGAAAAATCACTCAGAATCACAGGAGTGATTCTGGGGATCTGCAATAAGATGAATCAAATCCCAGTCACAAAACAAAATTATCATATTTCCTCAAACCCAAGATAAGGCAGCAAGGAGGTTGGTGGGGAGGGGCTGTAATCCCACAGGCAGTGGGAAAGCAGGTTGAGGCACTGGAGATGGGGAGGGGACAGGATGGAGATGAATTTAAAGACACCCCCTCTCCCCACCAATTAGGTTCTATACATGGAAAATTATAAGAAATTTCTAATTTTCCACACAGAGAATCAAATTATTGGTAGGTCATCTTAAAATTCAAGTTATTTCAGATTCAGGTAAATACGGTACTATCTGGAGGAGGGTCACAGAGATTTTGTTTCTCTTCTAGTCACCAATGGAAAGAGAGTTCAACATTAATGAGCACATAATGTTTTAAAATAAAATCATGTAAAACCCTCAAACAGGTTTATTTTTTTTCAGTTTACTTAAAATGTCAGCATCAGTCAATACATATTTCCACTAAAAAAGTATGATCAGAATAACTTTAAAGATAGTACAGCTTTAAAACCTTTTTAAGCTTATCACTATTACAATTTAGAGCCAAAACCATCACTCAGCTGATCACTAATTTACACACTAGTAAAATACAAAAGATTTTACTTAATTTCCAACTCAAATTCTCAATTTTCAATCTTAGCTTGAATTTTTTGTTTGAAAAATGAAATCTTCAATCAAGCACCAAAGATTAAAATTACTGGCAAAATGAAGTCTACAAGTAGGAAACTGCTCAGACAGATGTTATGAGACTCCCTTTTCACCTAGCCTAACCCTTCTTCCCCAACTCTCTCAGCTCCATCCCAAACATTTTTTTAAAAAACCAAACAGGCCAAAAACTACTCAAAGCTAATTAAGAGATGTGCAGTTTGTATTGTGTACACCAAGCCATTTTTGACATAAGCAAGAAAACAGAACGGTTCTTTTAGTTGACAAAAGGCTCTAATCAGCAAAGTTCTTGAAAAGTCCCTTTAAAAAGTATTTTTCAGACTTGACAGTCTCTCTCTAAAAAAGGACAATTTTATTCCAACTATAAAGTTTTTTTATAAACAGGGAGTCAGTCTGAAGTTGACCACCTGGAGTTAAACATGTTTACAGATACTCAGGGAGACGCCTCAATTGTATACATCCACATTGGGCATGTCTACATGTTCATTAAATGTGCCTTAGATACTACACATTTAGTTGAATATTTGCTTAATAAAGTACTAGCACTGCACATGTTTTTGTCTGTGATGTTTACTGCACATTAGCTTAATAATACTGCACAGTAGCCTTTTAGTACAGTTTTTAACCACCATGCTACTGCACAGTGTTATTAGGCCAATGTGCAGTAAACGTCTTGTGTAGATACACCCATTATGTATAAATAGCCAATAGCCAGGTACTTTGCCAGAAGCCCACTAAATAGCCTTCAATGCTTAAGTTCATAATTAAGTAACACCTATTAACAAAGGGAGGGAAAAATTCAGACTAAGATATTCCCTATTGTGAGAAGAAAATTAAACACAGTTGAAAAGACATACACATTGTAGTATTTTGGGAAAGAACTGAGATGTGCTCAAATCACTGCTTTTCTCATTTCTTTATAGGAGGCTCTATTTGTGACCTTCTCTATAAACATTAGAAACTAATATAATTAAAAAGGCACAACCACCCTTTGCAGATGTGTGGTTTAAGAATATTATACTCATTAATTTATCATGAACTGAATTTGTTTCAGTGCCTTCCATCAATTTGGACTATGATGTCATTTGCCTTACCTGCATCCCAATTTAGCTAACTTGGTTTGTAAACCAACTTACATTGGACCATTTTTTAAAACACAACTTCGGAAATCACAGACTTTAAGTGATCTTTTACACTAGATCTGGGTGTCAAACTCACCCTGGGCCCTAAAGGTCATATCAGGACCATACGGGCTCCTTCAGCACCAGATCCACAGGGTCAGCAGCAACTGCTTCAAGTCTGGGGCTGGGAAGCACATTTGAGAAGCAGCATGGAGTTGCATTCAGAGCAGCACATGGGAGGAGGTACATGGCAGCATGGACCCATATTTAGGTAGTGACGCACATCTAGAGAGGCCTGCCATGTCTATCAGGGTCCAGGGACCCTAAGTTCTGGGGCAGGCCCCCCCAACATCCAATAACCTGCCAGATGGAACAGTTCTGCAGGCTGAATCTGCCCCACAGGCCATACATTTGATACTGCTGCACCAGATGGAACACCTTTTCAGTCTTTTCACAAGAACTTACAATTGCTGCCCAGACCTCAAGAGAACTTGCTTTTTTTAAAAAAAACATTCTACAGTCCTAATAAAGGTCAAGTTTTTAAACCTTATATTCACATCTCTGCAAGGCCTTGTTATGTTCAAATCAGAATGCCTGATAGACTTACAGATAATGCCATTTCAACTTTTGTAAAGCAAGAAGAATTCAGACAAAAAAAGGTACTGTGCTCCATCCTATTTCATGCAGAAAAGTGAAGTAACTTTAAAGGAATGGCTCTAATGTTCACGGTGCCATTCTGTTAGAGACTAGGGAGGTAGGGAGGAGCGGGGTTTCTACTTGACAAAACGTTCAGTTTACCAACCTACTGCTTCTTTTTGTACAGTGTTATAAACTGATTCAAATGAGTTTAGCTTCCAAAAAGCCGTTAAAAGTTTCTATTATATAACTAAGCTTTGGTTCATAAACATGGAAACACAATGGTTAGTATTCACATTTTCCCCCAGAGGGCAGAGAAGATTCCTGACATCTTTCACTGGGACACAGCCTTTGGAGAAAGCCACCAAAAAGAAAACACAGAAAAGGTTGATTGATACTGCTGTTTGTTGAACTAAGGCTATATTTAGAATATTCAGTTTAAAAAGACATATTAAGTATAGTATGCCTTGAATATAAAACTTTTTTCCTGAATTGAATACTCTGAAAAACTAGCTGACACTTTTTTCCAAAATACCCTCCCCCCTCAAGTTCCAGGTCATGGTTTTGACCTACTTTGGTTATGGAAGTAACTAATATATGCATCAGGCCTCTGGCAAGATACACTTACAAGAAGGACAAGATTGTCATTTCAGTAAAATGGAGAACAAGTGTATTACTAAGTAACCACAGGTCCAAGTCTCTTGACTCTCCTGGCTACATGAATTCTGTAATTGTTGGGGGGGAGGGGAGGAAAATATATCTATATAGTTTATATATTCATATATTGCAAAGACAGAAGATACAATTTTATTTACCCATCTTATTAACTGAATGGGATAGCATCAGTCTTTCCCCTAGCATCAGGAATCTAGCATCTTGCTACTGTTGAAACAAACTGATCTCACAAACCCCAACTCCTGGAAGACTAAAGCATTCTTAAATTCTGTTCTTCCTCCCCGAGTCAAGGGCTTAAACCAAAAACCTAAATTTTGCCTAACAACGTAAAGAGATTTAGATATTTTACCCAAGGCAAAAGTCAGGAGAATTATGTTCTGAATAAAAAGAATGTGGGCCTCATTTTTAAATCACAGGAAAAGTGGTAAGAGCCTTGTGTATCTTTAGCTTTAACTGTTTCAAATGATGAACACTAGCTTCTGCTTTTGTATTCTTGTAACAACTACATTTTCTGACAGGAATACAAACTAACATACACCTCTCACCTGATAAGGCAGACAACCCTGGTAAACTAGACTATAGGTGCTTTAGTCAGAGATTTTCCTTGGTTTGTGTTCCACCATCTTAGAGACTGGAGGACTTAAGGGATGAGTGCAATCTCTTTGAAAAGATAATAATATTACACTGAAAGACTTAATGTTGAGACAACTATTGTAGACAATGGTCCACTGAGCTGAATATGAGAATACGTTCAGTTCCAGATGAAAGACCTGCCAAACAGCTGCAGCAGAACGTCAATGTATGGTCCAAACCAGCTCCTTGATTTTTGTAATGGTTTAAAACAGGGGTGGGCAAAATACAGCATGCGGAACAGATCCGGCCCATGAGGCCATTCTATCTGGCCCACAGGGCCCCTAAAAAATTTAGAAAAATTAATATTTTTCTGCCCTTGGTTCCTGTCAAAAGTGACAGGAACCAAGGGCACTAGGACCCAGGGGAAGCCCTGGTGGGCTCCCACAACAGCAGGGCCTGCCAGCCCCACCCCCTGAGCCAGAAGCCCCAGCAAGGGGCTTCTGGCCTGGGACCATGTGGCTGCCCTGTGCTGGAAATGCAGGGAAGGGGGAAGTGGTGGGGGGGAAGGGCAGGAAAGAACCCCAGGCAGGGAAGGAGCCTGGGGATAAGTGGCTTGGGGAAAAGCTGAGCACAGGGAGGGGGAAGTGGCACCTCCCCCACCCAGTGGCCGGCACCCCACACTGCAGCCACTCACAGCCCACCTGGGGCAGCCTGTGTCTGCTCCAGACAGCCCCACAGCCCCGCGCAGGCTGCAAGTGGCTGCAGCAGGGAGCGCCAGCCACGGGGCAGGGGAGGGACCGCTTCCCCCTGCCCCCTGCACTCAGCTTTTCTCCAGGCTCCTTCCCAATGCGGAGGAAAGCGGCTCTTTCCTGCCCCATAGCCAGCACCACCTTATAACCCAGCCCCGCTGGCAGCATGGGCCCCACGCGGGTCCAGGCTCGCCTGTCAGGGCTGCATGTGGCAACTGCAGCTGCGGCACCCCTGCTTGCCACACCGGGTAGTGTGTGTCACCACCACCTGTGGGCTGCCCAGCGCCCAAGCTCCAGGTGGGCGGCAGTAGCCAACACTGCCCTGAGTGGCATGGGGGGGGGGGG